TTAAACGTGGCTCCATAGACAAAGTCCTAACATTACAAGAATGTCACTTTTTTCATATCGCTTGGTATTCGTAAACCATGCTCTCATTTTCTCACTCGAGCAGTCTTAGCTGAATCACAGTTTGAATGTTTACACACACACACGCGCGCATACATACATACATACATACATACATACATACATACATACATACATACATACATACATACATACATACATACATACATACATACATACATACATACATACATACATACATACATACATACATACATACATATATATATATATATATATATATATATATATATATATATATATATATATATATATATATATATATAAGGGAATCATTGACATTGACTAATTGATAATGTTTTACTATTAGTTCTTTGACTTACATGTCTGTCTCCTCAACAGTAAAAAAACACTGATTACGCGACTTTACTCCTATACCACATTTATTACACAGTCAAACACCAAGACCAATACGTAGGGCTAGCATATCTGATTTACAGTGCAGGAAAAAATTATCTCAGACGATCCATCACCAAGCATTGCTTCAACCCACATAATGCCGTTAGCAGCATCAAATCCAATATTTCTAAACGTTTTGGATTGTTTACATATCTCATCTATGGTGTTTGCTTTTCTGGATTTAGAAATGGATTAACAAAATCACGTCCAATTAGATGTCATTATATTAATATTGAAAGCATCTAACTGCTATGTTCACTATAGCTAGTGACGTATTCACTGTCTTCGTCATTTTCTGTGAGCGGTTTTTAGCTTTCTTGCACAGCATCAAACAATGACTTTCCTCGATTTTGTTGTATTATTCACCAAATTTACGTCGGTTTTGTTCCAAGAAAAGTCCTTAGTCAAATAATTTATCAGTAAGCAACTGATATGTATTCGAAAATAAAATCTTTTAAGCATTTTTAACAAATCTGTATTTAAACGACATAGCGATTCAGCCCTTTCTTTAACGTTAGAAACACTTTATTCTTGGAGTAATGCGATGACAAGGTTAGATACATTAATTTATCCTTTCAGAATACTATACTCATTACTTTTCGTCATTATTGTGAGTGAGGTTTGTTGAGATTGTAATAATGCTGTCGATTTTAAAAAGCTGTTATATATGAATTTGGTGAAATAACATATGCTCGTACCCTCTATATACGTTATATTTACGTGCATGACTCCGTGAGATGGTAAGCATTCATAGTCATGGATTCTAATTTTAGGTTTCTCAAAATATTGCCGTCAACTGTCGATTCCACCAAACAATAACTTCACTGTTGTTTTGTTGACGAGTATCAGTTTAAGTGAGTTTAGTATAAAAAAAAGAAAATTTTGCTTCGAGACAATTGGCACTCCAAAATAATACATTTCTTAATTAAGTTTATTTTCTTTTTGATAACTGAATGTCAGCGGACATCACAATTTAATACATCCTTACTCAAGAGTTTACCCTATTCATCTTGCAATTAATGCAGAACCTGTATGCAAATATTGATTCATCTGCATGCATGGCTGAGCTGAAAGAGGAAACTATACTCATGTGCATAAAATGGGTCTGTAATAGATTCCCAATAATGGTGGACATGCAAATCAAGCATGTGTTCGCGTATGCATTTAAACGTATTTTCAATTATGTCTTCGCGTATGTACTTGTGTCTATGCTCCTGTACAAAGGTGTGTCCGTAATACATATCAAGTAATGTTGGTCATGTTGTTCACCATGCAAACGTTGGATAGCAAATCATGATAATGGCCAGTGGATTTACTCGGGTCGTATCTGGAGCGGATTGGGGGGTGGGGTATGGTGTGCACGTTTGTTGAGTATTATTCGCATTTTGAATTTTGGACACCCAACCACCAACTCTTTATCTGGTCTGGCCCTGCTTATCTGTGTTGCAACAAAGTAGTATCCATGCTTGTACTAGCGGTTGTACTTGTGCAATGTTGTTGCGTGTATTTAGTTCACGGTGGTAGGCTTTACATGACGACCAGCAAAACAGGTTGTGAAAGAACCCAGGAACACCCTTGTTAGAACCACCGAACAACGGGAACATGCTAGGAAGGATTCTCACATATCCACATTGGATGCACCGGTGACTCGAACCTACGTTGACATAGATAAGATGGTATAAATCGGGAAAGGCGAAAGGGTTAGACAACTTGATATTTATGCATTTATAATTGTCACATCGTCGGACAATCTCAGAGACGTGAGTTGTATGATAATAGCGGTTTTGTTGGTTACGGGTCTAGATTTCAGTCTTAGACCCATCGTGCATATCCTCTTGCAGGGCGCCTATTGGTAAATGTCTCACCTGCGCATGTGCTCGTGATATGAGGACAAAGTCACGGATGTTGGTGGGGATGTTATAATACATATGATCATACGACTCCAAGTGATGAACACATTCTTTAATATGTTTTAGTTTGATTCAGTCATAGATACTAAAAGAAAACTAAAATGGGTTCAAGATATCGTATATAAAGACGTTCTTTCTGCTGTATGTACAAAGCGTTTGTATAGCCAGTAATGTGGTGATTTGCCGTTAAATTCTATATATAGATACATACATTTTACAATATCTGCTTATGTTTGATAAGCTTATATATATATATATATATATATATATATATATATATATATATATATATATATATATATATATATATATATATATATATATATATATATATATATATATATATATATATATAAACATAACTGGGTATTTTTATGAAACGATCAGCAAGTCCAACAGCGGCTTTGATCAACAAATGAAAAATGTTAGGGGTACATCGCTATCAATTGAACTACAGCTCAAAATTTCCTGATTACAAGTTTCAATGATTTTTACCTCAGCGCAGGTGTATCATTTAATGTCACCTGTAAATCTTTATGAAATTGGCACGCCTGCAAATTACTGTGATGTATACCGGTATAATCAATTTCACACACGGAGACACAAAATGTGAACCAGCCAAACTTGTAATGCAACTCAACTATTACTTATTGAAAACTATTCCCAGCTGAGATATATGTTAATTGTCAAAAGTCAAGTGAATCCTTTAGAAAATCCCCCGTCGGTTTGGTATGCATTCATCGGCCTTTAGTTTACTATTAAGCATAATCCAAGTCAAATCGCTTTTTGGCGTTTAAATAGATTTTAGTAGGCCAGAATCAGGTAAATGCTATACAGGCTTTGAGGAAAAATGTATTAAAAGTTCTTGAGATATTTCTCAAACGTCACATATATTTAGCTTTTCAATATCCTGGACAGAAAGCCGCATTCTTCAACCTTGAGCAAATGAAACTGCTGGGGTGGAGGTAATCACCAAATATATACCTGCGCAACTAGCACCAAACAGCAAATGGAAAGGACCTAGATCTGTCGTAGGATAAAGTACTGGCAGATATGTATGATGTTTCGCCGAACAATATAGTATGACGAACAGCATAGACGGTGATCTGCCAGCTCATTATGGACTGCAGATTTGATTCTGTGCTCTTCGTATTGGAAACAATTTAAGCATGGATAAATAAGTTTTAAAGCTGAAATTATACATCTATCTGAACTTATCGACCTACATGAGGAAGGAATAAACGCTTAATTTATTACATTCCTAACGATTGACTTTGGAAGACGAAAGGAATGTTGTACACAAGTTTTTTTTTTTTTTGTACTGATCAACATATCAAAGTACTTTAAACTCTTCACCACTGGAATATTCGGTAAAACCATAACATTATTAAACTGTTTTCATATAATATGTAGACATTTGTCGTACAGAAACCCCACATAGCCATACAAAGAAAAAAAAAAGAAAAGAAAAGATAGAAAAGAATACAGCAAAACAACAAAATAGTAAACCAGTCCCCAAAATACTAATTTATGACAAACTTGCATTTGGAATTAAATACCGGTAACTATTAGATCCCTGTCACAAAGAGAATGAGATAGTAATGACAGTAAGACAGTACAGACAAACCTGTTGCGACAGACACCTCTGTTATACATGCTCAGAATAGCACACTGCATTTAAAGCCAATCTCAACATAATAGCAACCCCTGTATTAATGTCCGATTTACCCTGTCCCGAAGGCAGCTCTATTATACAGGTTTAGTTGTTGTAGTAAAGTTTCTTGACTTGCTCATAAGTTCTGAATATTTTCACCGTTTTTCATCGAGTATCGATTGGTTTTAATTTATGGAATACACCATGTGTTAAACTACTATTATACAATACCGTTTAAATCACACAAGTGTTTACACAATGTATGTTAAACACCTTGCTACTTGTTAACATCGTTATAAGTAGTGCATGTATGATATTGAAAAATGCTGACACCGCTGGCTTGTTTTGGAAAATAAAATAAACATTGATATGTCTTGTAATAACGGGATTCAGTAAGTATCAAGCTTGCATTTTTCAACATTTTGGTAATAATAATAATAATAATAATAATAATAATAATAATAATAATAATAATAATAATAATATGATTATAACAGCTATATTGCTTCGATTTTAAAAAAAATCATAATTAAAATATCAATGTCTACGATAAATTCCTTACAAAACCGCACCACACACACACACACACACACACATACACATATATATATATATATATATATATATATATATATATATATATATATATATATATATATATATATATATATATATAAAGAATACAAATCATATGGCGAATAACAACCCTCTCAAGCGTACTGGATCCACCAAGGGATCACGTGTGTCAGGGATTATTTAAAATAGATGCAATAAACTGACGACGAACAGTACGAAACTAGTAACTAACTAGCCTATATATATATATATATATATATATATATATATATATATATATATATATATATATATATATATATATATATATATATATATATATATATATATATATATATATATATATATATATATATATATATATATATATATAAACCATTCCAGTTGCCTAGTGGTTAGAGCGTCTGTCTCGGATCGGATGCGGGAGGTCGTGGGTTCGAATCCCGGCCGAGTCATACCAAAGACTTTAACAAATGATACTAACAGCTGCCTCGTTTGGTGCTCAGCATTAAGAAGTTAGTGTTTGGACTGATTGGCTTTGTGTCAGGATAATGTAACTGGGTGGGACATTATGCCACAGGTCTGTGGCATGATGCCCCAGTGCTATAAACTGTCACACGGCAGGCATTGTAGCGATATGACTGAAAAATTGTTAAAAGCTACGTGAAAAATCTAAATCTAAGACACACACACACACACACACAATTTTTTTTTATTTCCGACATATCTTATCCATATAGTTTGTCATCATGCCGTGTTATTGCTTTCGTCAAAATAATATCATGCCGATACTGTTTCATGCAAAAGAGGCCACGTATAACTTTCAAGTGTTTTAGATACTTTCTATGTTATACTTTGTCACCCAACAGCTGCTCCGTTGACCATTTTCTGGACATGAATAACAAATAAAGAGGAGACAGTGAAATCTAAACAGCACGTTGTGCCAAACTAATTACAAGTCATTTTAAAGGGTACTATTTAATTACAAAACGCAGCTAGTTAAGAGACATATGGGTGAAGATTTTACTTAGATTTAGGCATGTATGTTTTTACTCATCTTGGGAAATAACTACAGAAGATGACCATGGAATGAAATATCTTATGTTTCTAGCTAAATATAATTGTTATGTACAACCAGTTGCACTCTGTACTCTTTCTTCTCGCCATCGTGTTGTAGCAGGGACAAATGTGAAACGAAATAAACTCATGATGGCTTCAACATATTTTTTTTTACTTTTACAAATATGCAAGACGTACATAGGGTATATGCTTGTATTCTGAGAGGTTGTCCACTACAAATATTTTACAGTGGTCAAACAGTACTTGGATGTTAAGCGAGCTATTACAAGATTAAGCAAGACATATGGTGTATAGCACTACTTTGTAAAAATAAATACGTAATAATTTTTATGCAAAGTACAACAATGCACAAGGCTAATTTTATAAATCTTATTGTTCTTGAGGCAAAGAATGGGTTCATCAATGTGTCCATGGTATCGATTAGTCTGGGCGTTTCCACTTTTGCCGAAAAAAAAATGTAATCACATGTCATCATTTCATTATATTGCAACCATAACACGCATCCGGATTTTAAAACTTACTATGAGCCTCATTTCTGGAATGTAAAGAAAATATAGACACTTTAATTAAGTTCTTACGCATTGACATGAACAGGGCGGTGCCTAGACATGCTTAACATAAACCTTTTGTCAGGTTTGGAAAATCTGATGCTGCATTCAGACACCAAGCATACAAGATTTAATTAATGAAGTTTCTCCAATTTAATTAATCTCCTTTCTTGATAGAAACAAAATCTGTACGTACTCGAGGGAGTAAATAACCTGTACGCACATTTTACTCCAGGAAACGAATAAGACTATTACGTACTGTTATACATATCTATAATTTTTGTAAAGTTAGTCGTGACTGTAAGTTGCAGTGATAATTTATACTCAAATTTGTGTACTTGTATAGGTTTTATTTTAAGATATTAAGAGTGATAAATTTGCGTAGGATCTATAGATAGTTATGATCAGATTACAAATAATAATATTAGCAATGAACATGTTGACACATTTTGGGTAATTTCTCATTGATTGGTGGGATCAGGTGGGTTGTTAGAAGAATTCAGTTCTTTCCTAGGGAATATGTTAAGTCATGTGAGTTATTTTACGATGTGAAATATGTACAAAATGTCTCGTAGCAACAAATGCATTTCTGCCTCTTACGCATATACTTAAGTACGTGGAGCTGGGCAATTTTGGACATTCGTATTTCTTGTGTTCTTGCTGCAATATCAAGTCTGCAGAATGTTTATGTTGTAATTAGATATTATTCAAGATGAAACATTTGTTTAGATTATTATTTGGAACTACAAAGTGCTCATTCGACTAAAATATTATTTTGTATTTATTGTGAATTACCGAAATAGAAGTTCATGATAATGCCATTTTGATACATTAGGGCTCTTGGCAGACTAGTGTATTCATGGGGTCTGAAATTCATCCTCAACTTTCGATTCTTTTTGACTCAAACAGAACTTTTATTTTAAGGATTATTTTGGATTGAATTCATAATACTGTAAATTTCCTGTTACATTTTCATTTGATATTTTTGATAATTAAATTATTTGTTAAGTTTAACTAAACTTGATGGTTTTGCTTCTGAGTGAGCTTATGACTCTAGAGTCGTAACGGTACTAGGTCTTTCTACATCACGAAAAGGTCAATACACATTATAAGGATTTTAGCAATGAGTGAGTAGTGAAATATGTAATATCTGTCGATGGCCACATACGTTTCATATTACAAATTGAAACGATGAGCTATTTTCATTTAACATTAACATGGAATTTTTAAAGATCTTAAATGCGAAGGAGTTTTAATTAATATCGGTATTACTCAATTTTCTGAAGAAAAGCTCTTAGATAACTGCTGATGAGGTCTTTGCGAGTTTCTTATATCTATCATGGTGACACCACCGATTCTCCGATAAGCTGTACAACCTGTATGCTTTCCTGATGCATTGTTTTATTATAACTAAAGAAACGACTCTCTTCGAATTTCACTTTATTTACTTTAGATTCGCATGTATATATTTTGCTACTGAATTATTCAACAGGCGAGGAGTTTGAAAAGTAAATCTGTAGAAAATTCTATGAAATCAATCTCAAAAGAATTACTATTGATCCTTCATACATCCAAGGAGGTATTTGAAGCACAGAAAATGGAGCAGTTCTTTTAGAAGCCCCGCAACTGGTAATCAAATGTGGGGGTAGTGCTGGAGAGGGGAACTTATGAAATTGCGAGTTAATGCCCTATAAAGGTAAACAGTACTGCGAAACACTAAAATACTGAAAACTTTAATCAACATAGCTTTTGCTTGTCTAATTTCACATAAATTTTCAAATTTCTACGTAATACATAACATTACAAACTATGAAAAAATATGTACTCGAGAATCTAAAGTAAATAAGTTTGTTTATTTATGATTTTGATCTAAGAACATTGTGCATGGTCTTTATTTAACAAAACAATATAATCTCAGAAAAAGAAACTTTAACACAATTATATAATCCTGCATCGAAATATAAATCATATATATATATGGTGAAACAAACTTGGTGTGTAGTTTCTTTCAACCATCACACACACACACACACACATACACACAATCTTCATACACACACACACACACACACACATATATATATATATATATATATATATATATATATAACACCTATTAATTGTAATAGCTAAAATATGTATAAAGTAAAAATAGTACAGTACCTTTGTTGATTATGTCTCGTGTACTGAGTGCTGTATTGCTATTATACAGCGTCTATTTTAAATATATTGTCAGAACACAAGAACTTAGCTCAAATATATGGCAGCATTGTAGAACGTGTAGAAAGAAATCATGAACTTCAAATCTATGGCACCATTATGGTATGTGTAGAAAAACAAAAATGACCAAATTCAAATCTATCGCAGAATATAAGTGAGTGTAGAAAATAAAATGATGATATTTAATTCTATCAGAGCATTATGCATCGTGTATATAAAAATACATTTTTCCTCTGAACAGCATTTAATAATCCCGTTTAAAATTACTGATGCTAATTGATTGCAAGGTCTTACCAGAAATATTTTGGACGATTGCAATTGTAATCACTGTTTCTCAAAAACAATTTATTCATTGTGCAACTTAACCAATTCGAGAATACAATGGAGAATCCCTTTCCCATGACCTTTGTATTCCTGTAGAAAGACTGATTAGTCCTCCAAACTAATATATTTTCAGAACTTTTTAATACATAAAGTTAAATATAATTATGTCTTCTATTAAACCCTTGTATCCAAAAAGGATGTGTTGCCAAAATGAAAAAGACTCATTAAATTGCAGCCAGCAATGATCGTTTACCATATTTCAACAATGTTTATATTTCTGAGTTAAAGGCAAATGTACTGGACACTTATTTGCACTTTTAATGAAATTTAGTTAGTTCTTGAAATAGGGTGGTTGACAACTAGCGTATTACTTAGTATAACATCAAAAAGACTTGGAAACAAATTACATTTTTTTGACTATTGCTGCTATTACTGCGCACTATAACAACACTAAATACAACATCTGTTACATAGTTGTCCAATATACGACTGCTGGTCAGAATATCGTCAGCCAAAGGTGTGTATCTGGCTCGACATCCTGTCATAATTTGTGTCGAGTGGGAGTGGACAGATGTTTTTCCAAGTTTTCAAATGGCCCCCTGCCTGATTAAAAATGTTTTGTTGCCCTACACGCGTAAAGGTTGGACACCCATGACCTATTAATACTACAAAGAACACTGCCGTCTGCCGCCGTGATTATTCTGAGTGTTATCATCACCGTCGAAGTAGTAGTTAGATGTGCCAAAAAATCCCAGGAATGTTTTCTAGATGGTTAGAATTATGCCGTGGAAACCCCACAAAATGCGAGAGCTTCCTGGGCACCAGCTGGGGTTCCGTTATACAGACTCCACGTTTTCTTGTTTTAACCCCCACCCGATGTCAGGATCCACCATTGGTCATAGTTGTAGCTGACGCTGTATATAGTATATGCATGCAAAAAATAATAATCTGATAGCAGCAGCAGCAGCAACAGCAGCAGTAGTAGTAGTAGTAGTAATAGTAGTAGTAGAGTAGTAGTAGTAGTAGTAGTAGTAGTAGTAGTAGTAGTAGTAAGTCTGCAGGGGAGTATGTAATTGCCGAGATTGTTTAAACATTTGGAAATTTTGACACATCAAAAACTGATTGAATTTAATCTGTAATCTAACTAAATTACTCTGCAAGCTGTCTGGAACCGTCAAGTCTTGTGTCATCAGTTAAAGTCGTCCATATCAGTTCTCGTCTTTATTTGTAATCTAAATAAAGCACATTGGGGGGTATGAAAAAAAATTATTGTATGTAATCGT